GGGAACAGCTAGTTATAAATAAATTTTCTTCATTATTCTAGATATGTTTTCTAGGTCTATTTTCAATTTACCATTATACCATTAGCATTATACCAATTGCTATGTGGTAGAGCAATGCTGCAGCTGTATTATGTTTGTAGCACGAATGGGTCGGCTCGAACGGGGAAGAACCACGCTCTCACAGAAAACCAGCGTAAAATAGCAGCTTAACGCTGCTGTGTTTCGTATGGTGAGTGTAGAGAACCGGAGACCCTTTTTACTGGCAAAGAGGCATTCCATCTTAGTCCTCACGGGTGACAACGCATCTGCATCTTGAGTCTTTATTGAGGATAGATGTAGATGTTTATGGGTCACAGTAACCACTTAGCATCAGGTGGACTGTGTGCTCGTTTGTCACCCGATCCTATAAAAAAAAATTAAAACAGGCAATCACAAGTCCTTTACTGAATAGTCCTTCATAACTTGTGAGCGCAAAGCTGCCATGAGTATATTAAAAGGAATTTAAATAGAATTTTTAGACAATCATCCGGCGTGACCTTTTCTATAGCTCCGTATAGATAATGTCCGCATAAGCACAAGAGCTTGGTATATTAGACTTTCTTTTTTAACATTATAAAAGAGGTGTTGGTTATTAAAAAGTAGTATTAATATTTTATTTTAAAGGAAGAGTGGTGGGAGCTGGCTGGTGAATTATCAGAGAAAAACGGTGACACTAAATCTGCCGTGGAATATTACGCAAAGGGACACAATTATGCAAGAGCTGTCCAGCTAGCGAGAGAGGTAAGAAGTTTCGATATAGAAATTATTTATTAAAATCGAACGTATTATTTTTTAAACTAACAGTGATGATTAAACAGTAAAAAAATATTCAGAAAATAATATTTCTTAAAAAAGCTAAAAAAATTATACATAATATATAAATGTATAAAATCAAAGGACAAATATTTATATTAACAAAGAGACTACTAAATTTCATGAAATTGAAACCAGTATTTGGTATACTATCAAAGGAATAACAAATACATGAATTTCAAAATACATATCAGTCTTTTGGATTTTTAGGTCATACAATTTTTTGTTTTGTGACAAAAAAGTAATTAAATTCGATCGCGAAGATTTTGTTATTCTAGCAATTAATTATACATAGTTATTTATAATACAATCAATTGGTCTTCGGAGGTGACAAAGTATCTGTAGCCTTTTTTTAAGTTGGTTGCAAGTGTCTATGTGAAAAATGTCCATGAGGTGTACGTAGTACTTTCTTCAGGACTGTAAGTTCGTTTGTCTCTACAATTTTATAAAAAAAATAATGAATATAATCGCCAATTTGGAATGAGATGCACGATTTTACAGATCACTTGGCGGGGGATTGAAATTGTTAGAAAAATGGTGAGGGTAAGGTTATTAACTCTCATCAAAGACTTATATGTATACTATTAGACCGGCTGGGGGATGAGTCGCTCGCGTCCGTAGGCTTCGACCACCTAATCCTAGGCCCACCCTACACATGTCCCCTGGGTGGTGCTAAACAAGCGACAAAGCCGAAAGAACAGACTCGGCTCCTCGCCGTGTGGTAGCGGCGTAAAAAATACCACATTATACTTTCGCACCATGAGGCAAAAAATTTACGAAATGACCCCGAATTCCCGGCGCCCCTTTAATGGGGCAGGGGTGCGAAGAATCTCCGGGAGGAAAACCGGCGACGAGGTTTGCCACCCGTCACGTTCTGTCCCCCGGAGGGGCGAAAAGTGGATTGCGGAAGCCCGTCTGGCTACATTGAATGTATATGGAGGAATGAATGATAAGATGGATGAAGTATGCGATATGATGTATGATAGAGGAATAGACGTGTTATGTGTAAATGAGACGAAACGGAAGGGAAAGGATGCCACTACACATGGCATGTATACCGCGTACTGGTCTGGTGTAGACGAGACCGAGCGGGCATGCCAGGGAGTCGGTATCATCCTCTCAGAAAGAATGGGTCATTGCGTGAAAGAGTATGAATGTGTAAGCCCGAGACTGCTATGGATACGAATGAAAGTGGGCTTAAAGAAGTTGTTTGTTTTAGGGGTCTACGCCCCAGACATGTCTAAGCCCACTTATATCCGAGAGCAGTTTTGGGAGTTGGTAAGGATGGTGCTAATGAAATGCAAGGTTAATGAAAATATTGTGATATTAGGCGATTTTAATGGAAGGGTTGGGGTGAGGAGGCTTGGTTATGAAAGGATATTGGGAACGTTTGGTGATGAAAGTATAAATGAGAATGGTGAAAGCCTTCTCGCCGTATGCGTGGAAAAGAATCTTGTTGTGACGAACACTTTCTTTCGTCATAAGAAGATTCACACGTATACATGGGAAAGAGGTGATGATAGAAGTATGATAGATTTTATAATTGTTGATGAAAGAATGAGGAGCGCGGTGGTAGATACAAGGGTTTACCGGGGCTCTAACGTAGGGACGGATCATTACTTGGTCTTATGCCGAATTAATGGTCTTTTCAGACGTTGGAGGCATCGGACAACTGTGTCTACCACTGCGTTACAGCGTATAAGAACAGAGAGGTTACAAGATGAAGGTGTGAAAGAGAAGTTCAAATGTAGATTGAGAGAAAATATAAGTGGTATGGCTGAATTGTGTAGGAATGATTTAGACTTGGAGACTGTGTGGTATAATGTCAAGAAAAGTTTAGTGGATGCAGCTACCGAAGTATGTGGTGTAAGTAAGAGAACGAATGAAAGGAAAAATAACACGTTATGGTGGGATGATGAGGTACGGATGGAAGTTGAAGCAAAGAAGAAAGCATGGCTAGATTTACTAGCAACCAAGGCTAGTAATTCTAGCAGTATGAATGATGATATTGAAAGGAAAAAGGCAGTTTTTAGACACCTAAATAAGAGAGTAAAAGAAGTAGTTGAAAGGAAAAAGCAAGAAAGAACGGATAAGAATGATAGAAGAATATCGGATAACTTCCAGGCAAACATTAAAATGTTCTGGAAACTCGTAAGAACTACCAGGGGACATTCAAAACAGCCTAGAATGAATGCTATACGAGATCAGAATGGCTGTATTCTGAATGACGAAGTTTTGAGTTTTTAAGGAGATGGAAGGAATACTTTGAAAGCGTGTTTATGAGTGATGAGACGTTGGAATTAAATGAAATAGAAATTCCGAAAGAAGAGGAAATAGATAGAGATATAAGTATAGATGAAATAATGAAAGCAATGAAAAGTATGAAAGCAGGTAAGGCAGCCGGTTATGATAGAGTATCTCTCGAAATGCTAAGGGCTGGAGAAGGAGTGGTGGTAGACCTGCTGTACACCTTGTTTAATTTATGTTGGGAACTTAAGCGGGTACCGGGAGACTGGTGCAAAGCCGTGATAGTCCCAATATATAAGGGAAAAGGATCACAGCAGGACTGTAAAAACTACCGTGGTATCAGCCTTCTTAGTATTGTGGGAAAACTGTATGCTAAGGTACTAATTGAAAGAGTTATGAAAGAAACTGATGGAAAAATTTGGGATGTGCAAGCGGGATTTAGAAAGGGAATAGGATGTACGTATCAGGTCTTTTCCATGCGCATGATCGCGGAGAAGTTTTTGGCCAAAAATCAAAAAGGCTTTTGTGTGCTCATTGACTTGAAGAAGGCTTGTGACAGAGATCTGTGGGACAAGGATGTGTTATGGCAATCACTGAACTCATTTGGGTTGAGCACTGGGTTGATAAAGGCATTAAAGTCTCTTTATAGGGACTGTACTGCTTGTGTCAGGATCAACGAAGCCTACTCGGACTGGTTTGGCATCCATAAAAGTATCAGACAGGGTTGTGTGGCTTCCCCGTGGCTGTTCAACCTGTTTATGAACAGTTGTTTTGAAAATTTGAAAGTTGAAGAATGCGGGTTAAGAATGGGTGAGTTAACTGCCAAATGATCAAGTCATATTGGCGTAGTCAGCGGCCGAGTTGCAAATTATGGTTTCATTAATGAACAGGTCATTAAAAGAAAGCGGAATGAAAGTGAACGCAAGTAAGACGAAAGTTATGGTTTTTGAAAGAGAAGAAAGTAAAACGATATGTGAAATAAGAATAGAAGGGGAGTTGGTAGAGCAAGTAGATGAGTTTATATATTTGGGATGTGTGTTTAGCAAGGATGGTAGATATGATAAGGATATAGAACGACGAGTGAATGCAGGAAATAGAGTGAATGGGGCTCTACACTCTATTGTGAAAAGTTAGAATGTGTCCAAAAAGGCACGTATGGCAATTCACAATGCTGTGTTAGTACCTACTTTAATGTATGGTAGTGAAAGTTGGGTGTGGCAGAAGAAGCACGAAAGTAGAATAAATGCTGTAGAAATGCGGTCATTAAGGAGTATGTTAGGGATGAATCTGAATGACAGAGTGAGAAATTGTTAAATAAGAGAAGAGTGTGGTTTGCAAGATGATGTTGTGACCAGGATTAAGAAAGGAATGCTTCGGTGGTTTGGCCATGTAGAAAGAATGAATGAGGAAAGAGTGCAAAGCAAATTTATGTTGCAGAGGTGAACGGCATAGTCGGGAAGAGTCGCCCTAGGCGAAAGTTTATCGACCAAATTGGCGATATATTAAAAATGGGCCAAATCAAGAGTACCTTTAACCGACGAGCGTGTATGCGTAGGTATATGGATGTGGAGGAAGCGAGAGAGGTGTGTCAGGATCGTGCCAAATGGAAGTCCATAATCTCTGTCTACCCCTCTGGGTGACAGGCGTGAGTGTTTATGTATATGTATTATGTACTAGACCGGCGATTCAGATCAAAAACTGTGTCCCAGCTATGGATGCTCAGCTGGCATAGTAAATATGCCACATAGTTGTATTTTCGGGCAAATATTTGTAATTAAATTTCATTAATTTGAATTTGGTGCGCTTCGCGTATCTATGTTGTCTGTGGAAGATGGTAGAGGGCGCATCGAAGTGACGTGTGAACTATGATTCAATGGCGGATGACGTTTAGATTATTTTGTGCATTTTATTGTTATAAAAACTAGTAGAACTAGTTTTCTCAGCCGCGCGCAGTCGACTAAAGAAGTTACGGATAATTGACATTATTAATTATAATTATTATATAAAATTAAAAAAGAAGAGTGTTTGTTTGGTTATTGTTGCAGGCGTGTCCGTCGGAGGTGACGCGGCTGGAGCGTGCGTGGGGCGCGTGGCTGGTGAGCTCACGGCAGGCGGGCGCCGCCGTGCCGCACCTCATCGAGGCGGGCGACACGCTCGCCGCGCTCGATGCCGCGTTGCGCGCCCACGCATACAAGAAGGCGCTGCACATCGTGCAGGTGACACACTTCACTCTAATTTTCCCCGAGACTCATTTTTAATGGAAAACAATGTTTGTTCAAAAATAAAAAGAATTGGCATTGGCTGTAGCATCAAAGTCGTCACGGTTGTTGAACGTGTCTTGAATGAAGGAAATAAAATCATTTCAACAGTGTATAAGTATGTAATATGATTATTTTAGTTGGAAATGTGTGCATAATTACACATTTTCAATCGAAATAATGAGAAGCAGATATTTCAATATTGCAGACATACGAGTACAATTAAATTTTATTTATATGTATAGATATAGATTTTCTATTATCGTACAGAAAAATATTATACCTAATACTTCATTTTTGTGCTGATCAGAATTTTCATTTTGCTTAGGTTATAGAAGACAAAGACTCAATACGAGAACAATGCGAACAATTAGGCGACCACTTCATTTCTACACAGGTATGACATAATCTTTATTAACTACAAATCTTATTTTATGCATTTTAAATGCATAAGACATTCCATATACGGCAAAAAATGCAAATGCTACTTTCAGTTACCCTCAGACAAATTTTGCCCATTTTACTGTCGCATTTTACTTTGTAGCAACAATGGTAATGAAACATCGTACTCTTGAAAAGAGGCTTTATTAATAAACTGTGTGGATTAAGAATATATGGTAAAAATAACAGATTTTAAATAAAACATAAAGCTATGTTTTATGTTGTTAAAGGAAGTATTATCATATGCCACAGGATTGGGAGACAGCAGAAAGGGTCCTGACTTCATGCGGTATGGCCGATCGTTGTGTGAAAGCCTACAACGACGCAGGGCGTATAGCGGACGGCCTACGTCTAGCTGCTTCTCATCTCACAGAGGAAGAAACAAGAGAAATTTATTTGCCTCTAGCTCAGAAATTGAGAGAGGATGGACAGCTAAGGAAAGCCGAGCAAATTTACATTGGACTTGGGGAGCCGGATGAGGCTATATCTATGTATAAGGTATTCAATTTGCAGTTTATTTTCTGAAATTAAATCTACTATAACTCTTCACCTCTAATCTCATTGTTGATTTAATCAGTGCGATTTTAGTTATTTTTTCTCATTGTTCAGTGGATTATTCAGTACTTAAGTGCAGTTTATAATATGCCCATCAGTTTATACAACACAATATAACGTAATGTTTAGGAGGCATCTCAATACGAATCTATGCTGAGGCTTGTAGCCGCCCATCGTAGCTCACTACTGGAAGCTACAAGACGTCATGTTGCTCAGGCGCTCCATGCGTCCGGTGATTTAAGAGCTGCCGAAACATATTATATTCAAGCGGGTGAGTTGATTAATACTCTCATTTTGTATTTAGTTCTTTTATTTCGTTCGTTTTTTCGTGACTTAGTGTTGATTTCATTAATTTTTATAGTTTTCTATAGCGTTAACGATCGTAGAATGTCATCTTGGCTAACCCCGCTGGAGAGCGTAAGAATATTATTAATCCTCATCGTCCTGGGTATGCTGTGGTTATCCCACAGGCGATTGGAAGAGCGCGATCCAGATGTACAAGTCGTGCGGGCAGTGGGAGAGTGCGGAGCGAGTGGCGCGCGCGCACGCTCCCGCCGCGGTGCAGCAGCAGTTGGCGCTGCAGTGGGCCGCCAGCCTGCCGCCGCCCGCCGCCGCGCGCCTGCTGGCCGCGCGTGGGCTCGCCGCCATCGGTGCGCGCTGGGCGCTGCAGGCGGGCAGGTACGCTCCCGCCGCGGTGCAGCAGCAGGTGACGCTGCAGTGGGCCTTTTGACCAAGAATTAATACAAAGTAACCATCTGGCTGACTCATCACTTAACCTATTTCTATGTTTTCTTATTACTAATGATGCTTTAGAAAATAATCTCTCAGCAGGTACTGAAGTTCCAGGTATTGAAAGAAAATCTCGGGCCATCTTCGATAAAGTCGGATATTCAATCTCATGAGTCCTCCACCATTCTGAAATGTCTTCCAAGCTGGCGACTCTAGGTTTTCTTAGGTACTCCTCCAACTCGTCAATAACTAAGCCTTGAAGACCAGATGACGTCGACGACGACGATGGGACATGCATACAGTTTCTCAAAGTCTATTACGTCTTCATCGTCATCATATTCACATACTTTCTTTTCATTTCTTGGTAATTCTAGAGATTTATTCACTGAGTGTAGACTTTTATATTCTTTATAAAGTTCATTAAATGTGCGCAGGCTTTCTGTTTTAATTTGCTTCCCCCATAATGTCATATCAAAAGTCTGAGCCTATGGAGTCTATGCCTTCGGTCTAAAATTAAAGAGGTACAATAAGTCCAGTTGCTCTTCTTATAATGTTTAATCATTTTGTCTATAGCTGCTTGGAAACCCAGAATGAGCCTTTCATCCACTTCGGATGGATTAGGTTTCTCATCTAATTGTTTTACCATGGATTCAATTTAATCGAGCAAGAGATTTAATGATACAATGACTAGCGATAATGTAACATATTTTCCCCCACAAAGTTTCGTTGGTAAAAGTCTAAAGTTTATTAGAAACTTAAGTATTTTCTCGAGTATTTACCATTCACTATCTGTGATATGAAAATCATTCAATTCGGTGACAAAAGTACACAACATGCCAGTTCTCACTTTTAAACCAAATCCAATCATATCATGTATGGAATTCTATCTCGATGGACAGTCGTATGGGATTCAGATTTGATGGTACGCCAGCTGCTTCACAAGTAGACTGAAACTTCTCCTTCAATATCTCACTTCTTTTTATTTTACTGGAAATACTGCGTAATAGCTGAACGTGAGTCAGCAATATTTGGCGCCTATTCTTCATCTTTCTCAGTTTCGTCTTCATAGTCTTCTTCTTCTTTGCTCTTCTTGTCCGTTATTGTTAGTTTCACTGTATAATGCTAAGGTCTTTGATAAATCTTGTACACCAAGGTTCAAAGTGAGAGCTAAGCACCGGAAATGTTGATTGTCTGAATCAAAGTGTGGCAGCTGTTTGTCCAGTTCATACATAAATTTGGTATTTGCACTTTGCAGTTACGTTGTCGACTGTGATACTCTGTATTTTATCATATTATTATGTCATATTCCAATAACATTCGTGGGAAATCGTTGCAATATCTTTCCCAGTATGTCGACAGCGTGATGGTATAAAAATAATGATTCTTCAGAAGATTAATAAAATAGATGCGTTGCCAGATAGGTTAGTTTGCCTATGTAACAACAAAATGTATTTGACAATTTAGACAGGAAGAAAATCGCGCTTGGTGTATTTATAAATCTTAAAAAGCTTTTGATACAGTGAGTCATGAGTTGCTAATACATAAACTTGCTAACATTAGTTTAACTAATACTGCATTAACTATTTCTAAATCTTATTTAAGTAATCGCTGACAAATTAGTGAAAATAGATAAAACATAAAGTTCTTGCAAAACTTTAACTTTTGGTGTACCTCAGGGTTCTATCTTAAGACCCCTACTGTTTCTAATATAAATAAACAATATCAATATGTGATGTAACCTTGTACGCTAATGACACGTGTTTTTTTTATTACGGTCACTTAATTGAATTTATAGTATCAGAGGCACAAAATGATTGGGATTCACTAAATTAATGGTTCCAGAGCAATCTTCTAACGATCACCACAATCAAAACTAGCTATATGATTTTTGCCAATAAAAACAAAAAGATTGGTAGCTATAATCCTTTGATGATTGACGGTAAAAAAATTAATAAGACGGATCAAGAAAAGTATCTGGGTCTTATTCTAGATAGTAAGTTAACTAAGCACCCGTACATTCTAAAAATAAAACCTAAGTTGATATCTCTAATGGGTATGATAAAGGGTAGTGCCTGTAAGGTATACGTGTTATAATTCCACTGTGAAACCACAAATCGATTATCTAGTAGAAATATGGGGTAATGCAGCCAAAACTAATCTAGCTATACTGAAAACTGTTCAAAATAAATTATTAAAAGTTTTGTTTCATTTTGGTTATCCTACACCGACAGATAAGCTTTACAAAAAAATTAAAGTAATGACTATATCGCAAACAAATAAGTCCCAAAATTTTATATTAGTACGAAAAGTTTTAAATAAAGATATACACACAAACACAACTTTTGCAAAGAGAATACAACTACACAAAATGAAACTTGGGCCAAGCAACGTTATTGAACACGAACAAATTTCGGTAAAAAAAGCATAATGTATGTAGGTTCACAAATATATAACAAATTAATTATAAATAATTACATATCTAGATTAATTCCTTCTTACACACTAAAACTACCAACTATCTAAGTTATTCCGAAATAATAAATAATATAAATATTACAAAAGTTTACTAAAGATATAAATTATTATAACCGACCCTTAATCAGACTTTTCTTTTCTCTAAACTATTGAACGGAACGAGCTATCGGTGTCGTTAGAAACATTTTAAAACCACCTACATTGTGTATTTTTCGGTAGTTTAATTATAATTTGTTACATTGTAGGAATAGCCCAAACCAAATTTAAAATTCTTGAGATAATAAAGTTTTTCTTAATCCGTATAATATATAATGTAAAAGTTAGTGTTGGACCGTGTACTGGCGGTGTGAGAATATGCACTCCCACATATCGTCCCGTGGATGATGTAAGAGGCGACACAGAGAAACTGAACTAGGTAGCAGCATCTTCACGATGATCAGCTGTAATACACGTATATTATGCGGTAGAGCCACTCTTCCACATACATATTATACTCTCATCGTTGTGACGTCTCGCCTAGATAGAAGTAGGGTTGCCATATGCTAGACGTTTTCCTTGTTTGAAAGAACTTTTAAGGCTTAGATAGGCGTGCAGCCGATGTTGATCTAAAGGCAGATTAAATATTAAAATTTCGCGCGCATTTCATAGGCAATTGCGCCGATTCTTCTTGCTCGCCGTTTTTAACGCACATGCGTAGGTCAGTAATATAGAAAATTATTATATTCTAATTGTATTACTCAGACGTAGTGATTTATATACTCTTTGTGTATTACTATGAAAAGTTTACACATCATTATATATTATATTAAAAAGAAGATTAAAAAAATTGTCATCTGAAAAATACTACTATTGGTTTTTACTGGGTATATTCATTTATTATATAAAATTAAAAATAAAGATTATTACTGCGTATTATCAAGTTTTACTTTAGTCAGGCCTTTTTTTTTAAAAAATTGTCAATTTTGTCAACCTCTTCATTTTATAATGGTAACCCTAGATGGGAGATCGCGAGCGAGCTGAGCGATTTGGGTGGCGGCGTGTCACGGCGCGAGGTAGCGCAGCACGAGGCGGCGGCGTTGGCCGATGAGCAGCCGGAGCGCGCGGAGGCGGCCTTCTTGCGCGCCGGCGCCGCCGATCACGCCGTGCGCATGTGGCTCACGCGCGAGCAGCACGCGCGGGCACTCGCACTTGCAGAGCAACACGCGCCGCACATGGTACGCGCGCACGTTCTGCTGTTCCCCAGTGCCATTTGTGCCAAACTGTTTATAATCTATACAAATAAATAAAATATAACAGCTTTTTACTAAATGCATATAAAAGTAAATACGGTACTTATAACAAAACACAATTTTTAAAATTTTTGTTTGTCTGTCTGTCTGTCTGTTTGTCCCGGTTAATCTCCGAAACAGCTGGACCAATTTCGACGGGACTTTCACTGGCAGATAGCTGATGTCTTAAGGAGTAACTTAGGCTACTTATATTTTAGAAAAAGAATTAGGGTTCCGCGCAACATAATTAAAACCCTAAATTACATGCGAGCGAAGTCGCGGGGAACAGCTAGTATTAAATAAGGTGACTAGTGTAGAATGTGAATAGTTTTGTGTAGCCAAAGACTGTTTTGTATACGACTAGACCGGAAATGCAGAACAAGAAATGTGTTACAGATGTGGATTGCGCAAGCACGCCTCGGCCACAAAACGGGTAGCTGGCACGATAAATATGCCATGCCACACAGGTGTATTTTCATGTACGACAGTTAATGTATTTAGGCAAAAACGACACGTTTAACAAAATTAGTGTTAGATTGTCGAAAATAACGTTCGCGGTTTACAAAACAAAGAACATGTTGTCTCGCCCGCTTGCAATTGACTAAAGAAGTTACGGAGAATTGACCGTAACTTAGTGCACAATTTATTATTACCTACGGTACTAATATAGTGGAATACATAGAAGTCTTTGTGTGCAACCTGTTTTTATAGCTAATATAAATACAACTGTTTAAAAAAGTCCTTCTGTTTTTGTTCGTTTTAAACAGGACAGGTTTTTCCCAAACTCGTGGTAAAAGTAAAAAAATACTTTCAATAAGAATTACCTGTATATTAAAATGAAAATTAATCTATACTATTCTATTCTACTTTTTTCTAACAGTTGCAACACAATTAATTCATTTAAAAACAGCCGATAAGAAAAAAGGTTGTAGAGTAGCAGCTTCCTACAGATAAGCGTATGACCCTCCATTAGATAGACAGATGTTTTGGTAAGACATGCAGGAAGTCCTATTGATGAATGTAGATCGGTATCGTGCTTTATGGGATTCTTTAGGGGGGGGGGGGGGGGTACGACGTTCTGCAGCGAGCTTGTGAAGTGTGCATTTGTATGTAATATAGAATCAAAACGCGAAACACTTCGTCATGTTACGATCCAGGTCGTTTTTTACATCTTTTAATAAAGTAAGGGTAGCAACAAACGAACATAGTGCACTAGATAGTAACTGGATGTTGTGGCTTATAGATACCTTGCTCATTTCTCGATTAAGGCTTGTCTCTGCTCTTGATGACCTTGGGTGTGTGGGATAGAACACAGAACTCTTTACCGCACCACCCGCACCTAAAAATAGCGTGCACTTTGTCGGTACAAGAGTGCCATTTCGTAAGTACGATAAACGTATGCAATATAATGACACGCTGCAGAAATTTCTTCTGCGAATCTTTCATGATCAATATATTGTGGGTAAAAATTGTGGATAAATCATAGGTACAGTGTTCATTAATTGATATGACATTTCTTTATTTTGATAGCTTAAGGTATCTGAAAATATTGCCATAGGTCGAGGAGGTGCTTGTGGAAGGTGCACGTGCGGCCGCCGAGCGCGGCGACCTCGTTCAGTTCGAAACGCTCATGATCCGTGCTAACCGACCTAACGATGTCGTGCAGCATTACAAAGAGCTTGGTTGGTGTTACTTGTGTCATATTACCTTTTGATTATGTTAAAGTAAATGTTTTAAGGCTAACCATATAGTCCGGAGAAGACAATCGATGGAGAAGAAAGGTTCTCGAGTACCGTACCTGTAAGTGGAGTGTAGGGCATCTACACACTAGATGTTCCTTTACAGTGGACTAGTGAAGGGCTGTATTGAAAATAATAATGATAATAATTATCGTACTCGTAAGATATGCACATTAACTTGAAAAAAATTGGTGTTATAGAAATGTGGGAAGACGCGGCGCGAGTATCCCGTGAATATTTGCCTGATAGCGCTGAGCCTGTGCCTCCAGCAGTGCCACCTTTACTACAACGAGCAGCCGACCATGCTGACAGGTGACTAAATAACTTATGCATTTCCGGCTTTACCTACTTATAAGGGTATTTTATTAACAGTGCCTGATTAAAAGTTCCGACAGCCCTAGACTAACTATGAATATGCCCCCCACCGGCCTTATCTGTTGGTATCTGCCCAACCTACGAATATATTGTTACGAGCTTGGGTTTCGAGACAATTAAAAACTGCCGATTGAATTACCAAAATGTACCCTTTAATTACAGAACACTAATTACAACTTACAACCACACTAATAATAAAACACAATTGTACTACTTTAGTTCGCAGTTGTATCGCGTCGAAGTATTCGCTTGTATCGCCAATTCAATACTGCCCCGGTCGCGGTCTATACCGGCCTTATATAGTGCCGCAGGTAGTTTCCAGAACCTTCTACTGTAGAAACTTCTAGAATGTTCGAGTACGTATCGGTCCCGATTGACTAGGTGTCGATAGTTCTAGAAAGTTATTCCATGGAAATTTCTAAAAGGATCTTGACTCCTAGTTTTGCTACTCGATACTAGAGGGCGCTAGCGGTAACTAGTGTTGCGATGTACCTTCTATTAATTGTGGCGCGCAACACTGCTCCTTCCTAAGACAGGCTCGTCCCGAGCATTATTGGCCCCATAATGACGCGGCAGTCGATCCACATGGACGATCTTAGGATTACCTCTTGCACCTTTCTGTGTCCGGTAGGTTACGTCATTGATCCTTGTCACAATCCGGTACGGTCCGTCCCATTTAGCTTGAAGCTTAGGAGATTTCCCTTTGTTGCGAACTGGATTGTGCAACCACACTAGTGAACCTTAGTCGAACATTTTGCGGTAATACCGGGTTTTCATCTTTTCATACATTTGCTGGCCCGATTGTCTGACGTGGTCATAAATGTCATTAATTTTATTCCGCAAGTCCGATACGACTTAGGGACCTTCAAGAAAAGAGCCTACTCCTTTTTAAAATGCCGGCAACGCATCTGCAATTCCCCTGGTTCCCCTGGTGTTGCAGTTGTTCATGGACGGCGGTAGTCACTTACCATCAGGTGAGCCGCATGCTCGTTTGCCCCCTCTCCTATAAAAAAAAATATTTTCCAAAGTTTGCAAAAGCTGGTGTCACTGATGTACTTTCGTGAAGAGCGCTTCGATATGACAACAAAAACGGTTGTATGTGCTTGTCACAGTCCCGTTGCCGATTTTCCACAACTTTTGCTAGGTACCTCTTCAATGTCTGATTAAATCGTTCTACCGTTCCATCAGATTGTGGGTGGTAAGAAGTTGTTCTTATTTTATGAGTACCCATAACTTGGCAACTTTCCTAGCATATTTGAGACTCAAAATTTCTTCCTTGTTACCGCTGTGAATCTCTAAGGGTACTTCAAAACCACAGAAGGCTTTATGAAGTAGTTTATCTGCTACTGTTGAAGCTTTTTGATTTGGAATGGCGAAAACTTCTGGCCACTAAGTGAAGTAATCCATCACAACCATGAAATACTTGTTACCACTTTCACTTTCCGGAAACAGCTCCGCAACGTCAAGGGCTATCCTCTCCCATGGTGCACCAACATTGTACAATTTCAATTCGCCTCTACTACGACTTTGAGGTCTCTTTACAGCCGCACTACTTGTACATTTGCGGCACCAGTCCTCAACATCGTCACGGCAGTGGACCCTGTAAAACCGTTCTTGGATCTTCGGTAGAGTTCGATTAACTCCCAGATGGCCTCCTGAACAACCATTATGGTACAGCTGTAGAACATCCGGTACTTTAGCTTTAGGGACAACCATTTGCAAATGGCACTTGCCTCCCCGACCATTTTCCCATTTACAGCACAGGAGTCCATCCTAAATCAGCAAGCTGTCCCATTGGGCCCAATAGCTTTTCATGGTCGAATTCATCGCTGAGACGTCGCTCCACTTGGGCTTAGGAGCACTGGCCTTCATTCATTCCAGAATTAGCTTAGTGTACGAATCTTCCTGCTGTGCATGTCGTAGGCTGTCCTTCCACTCATTGCTGAGCTGGTCTGTCCTGAGCATTCTCACAGATACCACTTACTTACCCTCTTGTCTAGTACAATGCTTGCAATCTTCAGGACAAGGTCTTCTTGACAATGCATCTGCGTTGCCATGAGGTTTCTCGCTGCGCTGGGCAGTGCTGTTAGCCGCACTACCCTCTCGAGATCGATCACCTTCCCTTTCTACTTCTTAGGGCAGCTGAATCGAAGATGGCCCCTTTCCCCACAGCCGTAGCACCTAGGGCTGTACCTATCCTTTATTTCGGTCGCGAACTGTAGCTGCTGCAACCTCCCTGACGCAATGGGTACGATGACTGTACTGTCGCACGGCTTCCACATTCAGTACATGGGCCAACGCGTCCTTGTATCGCCAATTCAATACTGCCCCGGTCGCGGTCTATACTGGCCTTATATAGTGCCTCAGGTAGTTTCCAGAACCTTCTACTATAGAAACTTCTAGAATGTTCGAGTAAATATCGGTTCCGATTGACTAGGTGTCGATAGTTTTAGAAAGTTTTTCCATGGAAATGTCTAGAAGGATCTTGACTCTCCTAGTTCTGTTACTCGATACTAGAGGGCGCTAGTGGTAACTAGTGTTGCCATGTACCTTCCATTAATAGTGGCGCGCAACAATATTTACTAGATTTAATATTTTACTAGCATTTCACCCGCGGTTTTGCATACATTAAATCAAATATTCCTGATAGTAAGTATCGACCATTCCCCATTAACAACTGCATCACTATAGGAATAGCATGTGTGTTGCTGGTCTTTTAAAAATGATTAAGCTCGTTTCTTGAAGGTCGTTCTACCATTTCCGTCATTTCTTACCGTTTGGCGCGAGGTGGAAGCGGAGGTGGAAACGGAGGCGAAGGCGGAGGCGGGCGCGGGGAGCGGAAGCTCGGCGCTGGAACGACTGGCGCGTGGCGGCTACTGGCAGCGTTGTCATATCGGTTCGAAAAATCACAGGTGCCGGTGGTAAATGATACCACAAAGAAGTCTTGCGAGGAAGAAAACTCCTAGTAAATCCGCACAGTTATGGTAGACCGTCAAGCATCCAGATGGTGTGGATGGTACTGTGAGTGTTGTCCCGATGTGGATTGGTGGAATTTAGCGGCTAGAATTAATCCTAACAATTTCTCTAAGTACATCCCGTGGTAAATGTGATAGAAAATGCAAAGTGTTGCAACATCTCTACACAGCGCCAGTGAATCGAGCTGATCAGAAAGAATTTGGTCATCGAAGATTCTAGACGCTCTTCGCTGGATGCGGTCAAGTGGAATTAGCTGGGGTTCCCCCGTTCCGGAGATAAGAACAGTACTACATGCGAGCTTGCGCCTTGTAAACTGAACTAACTGCCCCAGAAAAATTGCAAGAAAAAGACGAAGTGGAGTTTTATCAGTGAGGAGTCTAGCATACCACGTCTGCTTACCCCGCCTTGAAAAGATATCCACGCGATTTTTTTACTTAATAGGCTAACGCTTTTTCTTACTTATTTCTGCCGGTATACAGCAGTGCACGCAGAGCTATGTCCCGCTTTGAAGGACAAGAGGGACAGTACGATGATAGGCTGGAAATTCTCAGATGTGACAATGTATAAATAATGTGTAAGGTGTCCCCGACTGCAGTAGCCACTTAACGTTAGGTGGTCCTTTTGCTCGATTGTTACTTGAAGGGCATTAAAACCCGTAACAGGGGCGAATGGTGGGAGGCTGTGCAGCTGCTACTGGGCGCCAGTAGCGCGGGCGCTGCCGGCGGCGCCATACGTCTCGCGGAGCGTGCAGCGCTGCGGGCGGCGCGCCTCGCGCGGGATCACTTGCAGGGTTCGCGACGCCGGGCTGCCGCCGACATGTTGGCCGATAGGTAACACAACTGTTGCCACTTACATGATAATAATGACGACATGAGGTTATGATTTCCCTTAAATCGTCACCGCGACGCGGCTTGACTTAATCGGATGGCCACGAAAACTTTCATAATTCTTCTAAGGTTTTTTTCTTTTCTTTTTATATAAAACGTTACCCCCACACTAGGATTTTCTCCTGTATCGTGGAGGCAGTTTACAAACATATATTGCACAAAGACAAACATACAGACCCGGAACAATTATTTGTAGGCCATACAAATACTTGTTCCGTGCGGGATTCGAACCCGCGGCCCCAAGAGTTGCAACTCATTGCTAAGCCACTACGTCACGGAGGCGTCGTTTAATACAGTAATTAATATATCTATTTAATGAGTTTAATATCTTTGAGCCAACAAAACGCCAAAAGTTATAAAGTCAATTTAATAATAAAACTGTAACTATATATTTATTTTATTAAAGAAACTTCTAAATATAATCTTCGTAGGTTTAATGCTATTGGACAAAGTGAAGTCGGCGAGCAGCTGCGAGCTGCGTTAACAGAGGCAGACGACGATAATGCTCCAGGTAAAAAAAGAACGGTGCAATGTTGCCTGTGTGAACATTTTACAAAATATTACGTTTATAATTTAGAGCACGATTGCCGACTGCGAGGGCTAGTAGTAAAGAATACTTAACATTATATACTTGATATATAGGAATCCAAGCTCAGCTGCGTTAACCTAATTTGATCTTTATTCTAGATTATATTTCACAAGATTTACAATCATAGAGATATTTTTTATTATATTTTTAGGAGTTTCTTTGCGTTACAGAATACTTAATTAGAATAAGACATAGTTTAATGGGACTGTAAATTGCAGTGGTAATTAAGTGTAATGAACGGCTGTATTGCCCAAAGAACGAATGTAGTGCAGGCCAGTCTTATCAATTAAGTGGCGAACTGGTAAGATAAGTAGGAAGTCGATGGATACAGTCATTGGAGGAGGCTGCTGGTGGATTGTGCTGATTATGTAATGATAAAGTTACTGTTATGATATTTTGGGGTAAGTAAGCGCACGTAATAGCTGTTCCTCCTTTTATCGAGTTACTATCAATGGCAATAGGCCATTAACAGGACTTCAACAGACTAGTAATGGGCTCACAAAGTTCAGAACGCACATATGAATTTACGCGTTCTATTGTATTATTAAAATTTAAGTAAGAAAGAAAGAAAATCGGCGTCAAACAGGTACGAGTACTTCGGAGTACGAGGAGGAAGCAGCGAGGTTGGGGGTGCGCGAGGTGGGCGCGGAGGTGGAAGCGGAGGCGGAGGCGGGCGCGGGGAGCGGGAGCTCGGCGTTGGAACGACTAGCGCGTGGCGGCCACTGGCAGCGTTGCCTTGCGCACGCAGCGCGGGCTGCGCCGCACTACGCGCTGCGGTACGCCGCGCACCTCTTCAAGACACATCCTGTGCGTATCGATTCTTCCTTATATTGGTCACGTACATATTATATGCTAGTCTTTAAGGTACGTTGGTGCAAAGGTTTGCGTATGAAATAATCAAACCAACAAACAAAGAAAGTCCGTGAGGTTGTCACAAGCGGGCGATTTTTCTCTTATAAGTATTTAGGCATATTTTTGAGTTTTTATTTAAGTATAGCCTCTCAAAAAACTTAAATAACAATAGGAATATCCACTTTTCATTCTTGACTGTTCCTAAGGAAACCGAAAGGTAAAATATTATTATTTATAATAGATGTATTATTTGGTTTCTCGTGTATGTCAATGACCTTAAATAATAAAAAAGTTCAGTGTAAGTAGACCTTTCAGTATTAATTACTGCCTAATAATGCAAGATCAGCATATATAAGTTATTGTTATACACTTGGTCGATAAAAGAAAGAGATTGAAAATAGCAGCACTTCTCATTGCCACCCTTCTATTAAAAATGCCGTCGCGTGTTGCATGTTTGTAAAATGTGAAACAGAAAATGGTCAGTAGGTAAATTATCTGAGTTTCAAAGACGTTCACGTTGTAATAATCCAAATTTTTCTAGATGTTGCATATTAACCTTCCTCACATTGAACGATAATGTTCTTATTATCAGAATATTACTAGTACATTGCATAACACCTCATTGTATTCTATTACCAACTACTATCAAAGGATTCAATTTGTTTTCTCGCAACACCTAACCCTACAGTAGGAGTGGCCTTAACAAAGGCACGTAACGGGCTAAGTGATATAGATTCTCACACGCGGACGTAAGGTGCATTTTGATTTAATACGCGCGCTGCAGCATTGCTAGGCTATTTTAACGAAGGTAGCTTCCGAGGCGTGTAAAGTATTATGAACATTAGCGACGTTATAACTAGGTTTAAACTCGCAAGTATGCTATCAGAGAATGAATCTTCTGCTCTTGTTTTGTGCCTGTAGTTTTTGAGTTATCCTTAATAATGTTTATATAATTAACCTCGACTACATTGGTGATGTTCTCATTGTATTTATGTTGAAGTCGATTGTACAAAATTTTTAATTTTACCACTTGTTCTTTATTTAATATCTTGTGGTATGCAGCTTATTACAAGGTAATTAGTATAAGTAGATTATAAGTCTCAAAAAAAGTAATTTACTGTGCAGATTATACAGATATAGTGATTGTGGTAAAGAGACAATATTATTCTCAGGCTTTAATGTGCGTCGAAAATACAGTTTGGTATGTGGGAAAGGTTGTCGAAACTGTGCAGTCATATCAAAATACTTTCCATAGTCATATTAAAATGATGCCACAGACAGACACACAGATCAATAAAAACACACACACACACATACAAACACTACAAACATAAAACACCCTTCTGTTTTCGTCGGAGGTCAAAAAATAATATCATCAATTAATAACATTTTCCAGCGTACTGAAGGCATTGACATAGAAAGTGAGGATGTACCCGAAGCACTATCCTTGACACTGGATGCACTCCGCCAGTATCTCGTAAGCGATAGCGACGCTACTGTACAAAATAGCGATGCAGCGCTGGCTCGGGCTGTTTGCAGTGAGCTCCTTGTCCGTGTGTCAACGGCACCCCGAGCGCTTCAAGCGCTGAAAGATGCCGCGGCTGTTATGATAGCGGCGGGGGCCGATGATAGGTCGCTTCAGGTAAAGCCTTAGTCAACATTTCTTGGTACCTTAGATACAATGTAAGGTTGTTCATTTATTTAGTACTAAGATAATATCGAATAATTAGGCGTATAAATAACATAATATATAGAAAAATTTTCTAGTAAGCCCATTCTTAAGTCAAAGTCAGTACTTCTAATAAATTATTTTGGTTTTATGTTGGTTTCTTTAGCCTGATAAGTAAAAAATAACCAGGGGCGGAGCAAGATCTAAGTATGATGTGAGCAAGATGAATTTTGCGAGGCCCTGGCGACGAATAAATATTTTCAATTAATTGTAGGTATTTGGATTTCCATTAAGTACAACCCGCCACAAGTTCACTGCTGAACATAATATATTACATCAACACTCTTCATGTTGTACTTGGTTGTTCGACCATAGCTTGTAGAACAATTTTGTGCTTTCTCATGCGTCCAATAGTAAAGGATCATATCATGTCTCGTTTCCATAGGTCATCGCTGGCAAGACGCACTGTTTGTACACTTGTTTTAAAATTTTGAGGTTTTTTGACTACTTAGTCGAGTTCGATTCGTCGTTTGACCATTAAGTTAGACTTACCTAGTGGGATAACTTCTATGTCCCTTGTGAAAAAACACTGTGTGTTCTAAATTATTTACATGATAGCGCTCATATAAAAATCATTAAAAATTTAAATAAAAACAAAGTAAATAACTTACCATAGATAACCTTATAAGGACGAGGTTTACCATAGTTGCCACGTTTGGCGCGTGTATTGGCAACTGTAGTTTTTTAAATTTTGGTATTAGGAAGATGCTGCTGTCCCTCTTCTGCCTCAAAGTCGACAAAACCTGTTTGAATTTAAGCTACAGAATAATTGGCACACTTAAGGACTAATTTAGAATACCTTATAATTTGTAATTATATTGCCTCTAAGCTTACACTTCTAACCGGAATAGCTCAATGTAGCTTAATATTATCTTTTTGATCCTGAACATTTTTACCCCTAGGATATTGTTAAATTCCCTAGTCATTATCATTTACTATTTGTATTTGTACTATATTGTATGCGTCTATTTTGTTTAAAATTTCAGGCAATTACATTGTTGATGGGTCTCCACGTACCTCAGATCGCTCCCAAAGTAGCACGAGCTTTGCCTCGTTACACGGACATCATCGTCGCTGACGTTGGTGAGAGAAAAATTTATGTCAACAAAATTCTTTTGTTCTGTATTAACACCTATTTCGTTCTTTTTATGATAGTTATTATGTTACATTATGTTAATGTATATGATTCTTTGGGGATTGATCATTAACTTACTTCAAACGAAATGACTTGACAATTCTATAATTAAAATTGTTCGAAATAAGGAAATTTGTGGAATGAACTTTTACGAGGCAGTTAATTATCTACTCGTAAGTACGTACTATGTACCTCTTATACGTGCGAGTAGGCTCTACTATAGAAGAGGTGTATGTCCTGCGGTGGATAGTAATAGATCACAGAGTACCTATATCATATTATCAGATCATCAGTTACGTGGTAGAGCCATGTTGCAACTATATTAGTAGTATAGTTGTAGTACGGATGGGTCGGCTCGATCGGGGAAGGAGCACGCTCTCACAAAATACCAGCGTAAAATAGTAGCTTAACGCTGCTGTGTTCCGTATGGTGATTGTAGAGAACCGGAGACCCTTTTTACTGGAAATGAGGCATTCCATCTTAGTCCTTACGGGCGACAACGCATCTGCATTTTGATTTGTAATGGAGGATAGATGTAGATGTTTATGGGCCGCAGCAACTACTTACCGTCAGGTGGACTGTGTCATCAAATCAAATGTAGATGCGTTGTCACACCTGAGGGCTAAGATGGAATGCCTAGTTTCCAGTAAAAAGGGTCTCTGGTTTTCTACATTCACCATACGAAACATAGCAGCATTTAGTTGCTATTTTATGCTGGTATTCTGCGAGATCGTGGTGCTTCTCTGGTTGAGCCGACCCATCCGTGCTACAACCATAATATAGCTGAGCTGCGGCATTGCTCTACCACGCACGCTGTCCCTCTCTCACATATGGGCTTGTCGCGTGACAGCGTTCTTCAGTGCGGGCAGTGCGGTGCGCGCGGAGGGCGCAGGCGGCGCGCGCGAGGCTTTCGTGTTGCTCAACCACTGCCTCGACCTCGCCGAAGCGGCCGACGACGACGCCGCGCACACGCTCGACTACACGGACTTCGGTAAGCTAATTCAGGGTATTTGTACCACTTTTCTTGTTTGTAAAAGTTAAATTAGTTATACTTAAGTTAAAGTTAAAGCCTATATACGTCCCACTCGTTTCTCAGAGGGTTTTAAGGCAAGGAAACATCCGCTTCACTGCGTTTTGGCAGAATTCACCTTCTTCGAAATATTTTGTATTAATTTTTCAGACTTGCAATTTTTCTTACGATGTTTTCCTTTACCGACGTGGTAAGCAAGTTCTTATAATTGCAATAAGCAATATCATTGGTTCAAGCGTGGATCGGACCAGAATTTTTCGCGTACTGAAAAATTTAGAGCGAGTGCTTAGCCATTGAGGTACCACGGTTGTAGTTGAAGGAGTTTGCGTATAAAACTTTATACAGGTCATGGGCTACTGCTCCAATTGGGTTGTTGACATCCTCATTAATAATTAGCTTTATTAAATTTGACTTTAGTAGTACCTACGAGCAATGCTTAAAACTTGGCCGGTATTTTATTAGTTAAATTTGTACCAAAATAAGTTCATCCAACCACAAACAGCTATGATGTCATTTATTGGTATTCCCATATAATTTCTATTTAATGTTTTATCGTTTGTTGTAATATTTGTTGTACCTAATGTTTTAAAAGGGAAGCTAAATTTTGTATAAAGACTTACATATTCAGGAATTGAATAAATCAGACGTTGTTTTACCAGAGTGCACGGACTGGCCTCATAATCCGCTACTGCTGGAGAGTGCATGTGTCCGAGGGCCGCCGCTTGACGAACTTCGTGAATGGGTGCTGTCCGTGTCTATGGACCAGGCCGTTGAACAGGTTGTTATACTTTTTCCTTTCACTGCCTTTCTTAATCCACAACTGGGCCTTTTTAAAAATTCACAAATTAGCATGCATAACTTTTAAGAATTGGTAAGCGTAGAGCCAATATCGTATAGCTGGTAATGTTGTTCTAATCTACAACCGCAGAACGAAATACAAGTTCTATTTGTTCTGTAGTAACAAATGTCTATGCAGTGGCGGCGTGTGATTATCCACTACCCCATAAGTTCCTCAGTCAGCAGAGTTTTCCTAATAACAACTAGAACTGCGGTTGTCAAATCGCCAGTCAAGTGTGGCAACTATGGCAAGTATTCTTCTTATGATGCAATCTCTAGGGAGGCCCATGATTAGCAGTGAACTTTGATAAGCTGTAATTATGATGAGACTTTTTTGATGACGCTTTTTATACGTGGTAGAGCCATGCTGCAGCTATATTATGGTTGTAGCACGAATGGGTACCGGCTCGACCGGGGAAGGACCACGCTCTCACAGAATACCAGCGTAAAATAGCAGCTTAACGCTGCTGTGTTTCGTATGGTGAGTGTAGAGAACCGGAGACCCTTTTTACTTGAAACGAGGCATTCCATCTTAGTCCTCTCGGGTGACAACGCATCTGCATTTTGATTCTTAATCGAAGATAGATAGATGTAGATGTCTATGGGCCACAGCAACCACTTACCATCAGGTGGACTGTGTGCTCGTTTGTCACCCTTATCCTATAAAAAAATAATGATGAACAATGGTAAAAGTAATCTAATAAGAAATCCGCTGCTGTATGGAAAATTTGTCGGTGATATAGATTGCGAGCTAGTTTATTATTACAATGTTATAAAAATATACTTTTACTTTTCTGCCGACTTCCAAATCGAAGAACGGTACTAAATTCGACGCGTATGTTTTTTTTTAAAGCTAATACTTCTCGTTTGGTCCCATATGAAGGTTAGACCAATAGTTTTTGAGTTATTCTTAATAACTTATATTGAAGTTGGCTGTACAAAATTTTAAATTTTAAATTATTCTATAACAGCTTTTCTTATTTTGTAGCCTATTTCAAAAAATGGAGGAGGTTCTTAATACGACTGTATATTTTTTGTTTGTATTTTATCTATGGCAATTATACCTGCGTTCAATATGAAGAGTTTAAAGATTTTTTATCTAATAGTTTATACAACAGGATTTATATAAATTTGGAGAAAATATTCCATCCCTACGGGTGGGGAAATAGGGGATGAGGATTAATGTAACTATTTAGACGACATTCTAGTTGTTACCTTGATCTATATCAGTAGACTGGTTACAAAATTTTACTTTATATTTTCTATATTACATCATCTGGATTCGAGGCCTTAATTCTTCTATACACTATGTTTTAGCACCTACTTGCTGTTGCAGTGCAGTAGCTGTTGCTACTTCTGATACTGTAAATGGTATTAAATTTTGCAGAGCCTGCCCCTGGATAAACGCGGTATGTACGCAGCCAGTGTGAGCGGAGACGAGCCGTGCTGCGTTATCACGGGACACCCGCTCGGCTCGCGACTCGTTACATTCTCCAACGGTATGTCTTCAATTATATTCAACAAATTGAAAATAATATTGTGGTGAATACGTTTGCAAATGGAAGTGCTGGAACAAGGACAAAAAATATTTAATACCCTAATATTGATTTAAAAATAACAGCTCTCTCTAATCTTCTTTTGAAGATTAGCTGCATTTGTCATTTCTTGAGACTATGAAGACCGTGTACAGACTGTACAGTACAGTGCAACCGTACAGTTTTTTAGTAAGCGATTTATTTAGGTCGACATCATTTACGTCATTTACTTTATTTTTCAAGCAGTCACGTTTTCGTTCCGAACACGGCGTACGCGTTATATATCATTATTAAATTTGTATAAATATCATTATCAGTTTTATAAAATCTATTTTTCTTATATCATATATCATTTAAAGGTGTTCCGTACATCTTTATGGTCCTTCGAGCCGGGTATACCAGCGACCTATGGTCCTTCGTGCTCCGTAGCGTGACCTAAAGTTCGGGTTTTAACGACCGGCAAAAGTGATTCCACTCAGTGACCTATTGCGGCATAGTGCACTAAGTGACATGTGCAATCGCCTTTTGGTCTGTACTAATAAGTGTGCAGCTTCTTATCACTGTCAATGAGCTCCGGCTATTCGTGTAACCAAGCATCAAGGATCAAGCAGATTCGAGGGCGTAGCGAGTCTTGGAGCACTGCCCAGCAGTAGCAGCTTGGAGCGTATCAGCGTCTACACTGAGTACTCACCACCACTACAGCACAAACGCGCCTACTACCTCAGCACAATCAGCAAGCAGCATCATATCAAGTAAGATTTTTCCATTTTACTTATCGTTATATCATGATGTCTGTCAACATCAACATCGTTGACAGACATCATGATATAATTCACTAAGAAGCAGCAGCTACCAACAGCAATTGAAAATTTGTATACTAATTTCAAGAAGGACGGGTCTGATAGGAAGACTTCGGACTATATCACACTCAGATTAAATACTCTTTACAACTATTGGTTGGGATATGAAAATAATTATCAGCATTTATCACAATTAGAATTGGATGTACCAAGCAGAAAAAGAATAGATCAAGAACGTGAAAATCTGAAGGAGAGATTTGACAATATTAGAGCGCATATCCGAAACTATTAGACTTTGACAGAGGAGAGACCTGGAACACCACTGTTAAAACCACCGGAATTTGTCTCTAAACAAATGAAATCACGCCACAGATAAGTATAAGATCAACATCGAGCAAAAGAGAAGAAATGTTGAAAAAACAGAACAGCAACTTTAAAGCATTTCAACTAACCCTATTAAATATCAACCTAGAATTAGTATCAGAGAAATGGAAATTCGAAGATTTATTACGTACTCTCCAGTCTCGTTGGGCAGCTATCGATGTCTTACATTAGGAGCTCGATAGCGAATTGAATGGCTTAAACGGAACGTATGAAGAAACCTTCAGCTTCTATGAACAAAAATCTAAATAAATCAAGAAAGATATCAATACAAAGATGTGGTCTGAAAGTCACTGATAGAAGTTCACACCCCAGAAGGACATGCCTACGTTCACTGGCAATTATCATCAGTAGGCATCATTTAAGGATTTGTTTTGCGAAGCAGTTCATACCAATCGTCTTCAAACTTGTCAAACGCTCAGAAACAACAGTTTTTAAAAAGTAAACTTAAAGGGGAACTTTTTTGGGTCTCATATCAACATTCTTTTAAATTTAACTATTGTTCATCAACAGTTAAATAAACAAAAAAATCAGCACCACATATCAAGAAAATTTATGACAGCGTAAATGAAAGCCTAAATGTCATAAAAAACCTAGGCGTAGACATAAGCTCATGGGATCCTTTAGTGGTACATATTTTATCTTAAAGACTAGAAGCTGAGATTTACAAAGATTATATCGAATTCCTAAAGAATCCTATGGATTTGCCAACTATAGCAGATTTTTTTAATTTTTTGGAAAATGAATTTACGTCACTTGAATCATATCGACGCAAACAAGACTCTACAGCATAATCTTTTCAGCCTGAAACAATATCTCATCAAAATAAGCCGCATTATTTTAAATCATTTAGCAGCAAACAAAATCAAGTCACTAACTATGCACTGAAAAACAAGCAAGCAGGATGTCCACTATGCAAAAATGTAAACTAAGGCATATTATTTACCTGTATAAAACTTCCACAGTTTTGTATTTCACTGCAGCAACTTTCTCAAATTACAACCAACGGAAAGGCGAAATACGATTGCGAAATTGAAATATTGCTTCAATTGTCTTTACGATCATTACGGAAAAAATTGCATATCGGAAAAACGTTACCGCGTGTGTCATGGCCGACAGAACACGCTCATATACGAGGCCTACGTAAAATCTTTGACCTCAAGATTAGAACAACGTAAAAATGCTACCAACGTGTCATATAATAGTGTAAACGAAACCCTCTTAGCAACACCATACGTAAAAGTACAGTGTGTTGATGGCACTTATATCAAAATTTGAGCGCTGATTAATCAGGGTTCCAAGACCTCCCTGATTACTGAGAAGGCCGCTCAAATGTTACAAATTCCTCTACAGAGGTGCAAAGGTGTAATTTTTGAAATTAGATCAAAGGTGTTGTTAACATAACTTGCTCATCTGTTATCTCAACATTCAACAAACCAGACTGGTCATATCTAGAAGACATTCAACTCTTCGATCTCGAATTCTACGTAAACCGCCCAATAGACTTGTTACTGGGGGCTGACGTCTATTCTTCTATCATATTAGGCGGTATCATTTCATCAGAGCAATCACAACCTGTGGCACAGCAAACAGTAAATACGTCTCGGTTGGATTTTATGTGGCAACGTATAATCCTATTAATGCAACGTTATTATCAACAATATAGATGAGATTTAATGTTTTTAGGAGATAGAAAACATTCCTGACGAACTCACTATGACCCAAGAAGAAAACACTATAACAAGACAAGAAGACGGTAAATACATAGTCAGATTGCCATTTATATCGGCAGCAGATCAAAAATTGGGAGAGTAAAAATCAAGAGTATTAGTACAGTTTATACAGTTAGAATAAAGATTATAAAGATTTACCTATCGAAAAGATATTGCACAAGAATATAAATCATTTATCTACGAGTATTTGGAATTAGGTCATATGAAATTGTTGTCATGCAACACGACGCCTGTCTATACTCTGTATTTACCTCATCATTGCGTTCAACGACCGAAGTCAACAACAACTTCGCTTCGAGTAGTTTTTTTATAGGACAGGTGGCAAACGATCATACGGCTCACCTGATGGTAAGTTACTACCGCCGCCCATGAACAACTGCAACACCAAAGGAATTGCAGGTGCGTTGCCGGCTTTTTAAAAAGGAGTAAGCTCTTTTCTTGAACATCCCTAAGTCGTATCGGTCCGGATAAATCCCCGTTGGTAAATTATTCCACAGAGAGGTCGTACGCGGAAAAAAACTCCTAGTGAAACGTACAGTGGTAGACCGCCAAGCATCTAGATGGTGCGGATGCTTTAACGGTGCGTCAAATTCGCCCCGACGTAGTTTGTCAGAAACCTTCATTCCAAAGGGATGTGAATCAAACGAAGTATTAATAACTATAATGTAGCATCAACATACTGCAGGCTTAAGAAACAGGATAGAGGAGGTGTATGTATATTATATTATATTAGTAAGACTGAACTTGCAATATAAAATCTAGAAATACCTAAAAATATGCTACTGACGAAACTTTTGAATGTTGCGGGACTGAAATAATAAACCACAAAATCGTCGTCATATATTTATATAGAACACCCAGCTCTAACATTCAATTATTTTTACATAAGTTTAAGACGTTTTCGCATCACATAACCGAACAGAATAAAAAAAATAATTATAGCAGGAGACTTTGATATTGAGACTCTCAAACATAGTAGCACAAAGAATATTTTTTTGGACACTTTATTGAACTATACTTTATTTATTACTCATATTGACAAACCCATATTTGAAAGGGACGAAGAGAGAACGAAGTGTGAAATATGGGTAAATCAGGAATGTCTAGAACAGGTAAATGAAATTGTATACTTGGGGAGTGCTTTTAGCCGGGATGGAAGATGTGATTTAGATGTGGACAGGCGTGTCGCTGCCGGGAACAAAGTCAATGGTGCCCTGACTGCGTTAGTCAAAAGGCAAGGCGTAGCGAAGAGTGCACGCCTTGCAATACATAACGCAGTGTTGGTACCGACTTTGTTATATGGCAGCGAAACCTGGGTATGCCAGAAGAAGCATAAAAGTAAGTTGAATGCAGTGGAGATGCGATCTCTTCGAAAAATGTGCGGCGTTACTATGGCCGACCGAAAGCGAAACGAAGAGATTCGCAATATGGCAGGTTTGAAAGATGACCTTATCACAAAAATTGATAAGGGCGTGCTTCGGTGGTTTGGGCACGTTGAGCGAATGAGTGAAGACCGAATGGTGAAGAAAATATATAGCGCGAAAGTTAATATTAAAAGGTGTCGAGGTAGACCGAGACTAACTTTCGAAGACCATGTGAGCAAATTGCTCGAAGAGGGTAGGGTCAAGAGTACTCGGATACCTAGACGTGCATGTATGAAGAAGATAATGAATCTGAAAGAAGCGAAAGAGATATGTAAGGATCGTGACACTTGGCGATCTGTTCTCTCTGGCTACCCCGTCAGGGATTGTGCGTGAAGATAAGTAAGTAAGTATATTGACAAACCCACAAGACGTAATGCATGCATAGATTATATGATCTATATGTAGATCATATATTATATGATCCCCGTGAGCATTGTAAATTAGTAACATTTACAATGCTCACGGAGAACTATTGGAATTAGCATTGTCAGACCACAATACAGCGCAAATGCTACATGTAACTGTACAAAAACAAATCTATAGCCATTTGAAACATAACTTTATCTTCAAAAGGGATTACTGTGAAGATAATATTACAAAATTTCATGAATGTTCGTTTAGTATAA